GTGGAAACTAACATATGATAAGGATAGTAATTTTATGAAGTTATGAGGAGGCAGCTTTCATAAGAAAATTTACAAACTGAAAAACGCCTTTCAAAGATAGTGCAAGCAAGCGGTGTATGCTTCACTCACCGGACTATCCATGTATCCAGTAACAACTCGGCAAAAATCGTCACCCGGCTCAGTCGGATCCGATCCTCCAGCAAACCAACGTGATACGTTCTGATAACCATGCGTCAGCATCATATTGCCCAGTATTCCAAGCATTGTTGGCTAAAAAAATTTCAAAAAAAAGAAAATTAAAAACAAAAATTATGTTCTCTATGTAATTATTTCTTTAGAATGTTGTTTAAGTGTTTCTTTTTGAATGCTTTGTGTCAGTCCACTCCTTCCCTCGCCCTCTCGTTACAGTTCTTCACTTTTACTTCTTACTTTTCTAACTAACATATTTAAATAAGTTTATTTCCTATTTGGCGTGTGGGAGGTTAAACTGATGATTTCCGCTCTCAATCGCGTTCACTATTCCGTCTGTGTTTACAGTTAAAAGATGAAACAAAGACTGGTTTTTTCCCATTTTCAAATTCAATCAGTTCCTACTGATCTGATATTTTATGTGCAGCAATTTTAAAAAAACAGCAAAAATTACAAAATTTTAAGGAAGGGCCGCCCTTGTCGACGGTAGTGAAACTGCGCCAACTCCACCATTTCTACTACTACAGATATTCTATCGCTTGCTTAATGAGCTATTTAGTCGCTTTGTCAAAATCCCGCAAAAACTACTTACAACTTCACCCGCGTCGGCGGCCCTGCTTGGACCGCCCAATTCTGGTTCGGCTTTCTACGCCCCTTCTATTTCTGTACTAATATTAAGCTTGTTTTTAGCATGAATTTTAATCAATTTTCCAATTTAAACTCATTTCAACTGCTAGAAATGAGTGCTTGCATTTCATTCGAAGAGTTTTTGGTGGTGACGAGTAAATAGGAGAAAAAAATACCCTTAAGCTCTCGTCAATTTTGAGTGTCTCTTTGATGAAAACTGCTTTCTCAAAACCAAGCCGAGCATCGTGCATCGCCAGAATGCCCATTGCTTCGAATGCTAATATACGACAATTGACGTCCGCTACAACAATGCCCCGTTCGATCTGCAAACTCAAAAATGTTCATTACG